TACTACTACTACTACTACGACTACTATTATTACTACTACTGCTACTAGAATTGCTACTTATTTCACTACTACTACGAGTATTACTGCTACTGCTACTACTACTACTACTACTACTACTACTACTACTACGACTACTACTACTACTGTTACGACTGCTGCGGCTACTAAGACGACTACTACTACTACTTCTACTACTACGACTACTACTTCTACTGCTACTGCCTACTACTACTCTTACTACTATTATTACGACTACCGCTACTACTCTTAGTATTAATAATATTACGAATTCTACTACGACAAGTACTACTACTACTACTACTACTACTACTACCAGTGCTACGACTAGTACGACTACGACTACAACTACTACTACTACTACTACTACGACTACTACTACTACCACCACTACTACTACTACTACTACTACTACTACTACTACTTACCTAGTACTACTACTACTACTACTACTACTACTACTACTACTACTACTACTACCACTACTTCTACTACTACTACTACTACTACTACGACTACTATTACGATCACGACTGCGACTACGATTCCGTTTACGTTTACTACGACTACTGCTGCTACTACTACTGCTACTACGACTACCATTTTTTACATTTTTACGATTAAGACTACTACAACGACGGCTACGACTACGACTACTTCTACTACGACTACTACTACCACCACTACTACTACTACTACTACTACTATTACTACTACTACTACTACTACTACTACTACTACTACTACGACGACTACTACTACTACTACTACTACTACTACTACTACTACTACTACTACTACTACTACTACTACTACTACTATTACTACTTGTGCTACTACTACCACCACCACTACTGCTACTACTACTACTGCTACTGCAACTACAATTGCTATTTATTTCACTATTACTACGAGTATTATTACTACTACTACTGCTACTACGGCTACTACTACTACTACTTACGTACTAATACGATACTACTACTACTACTACTACTACTACTTCTACTACCACTACTACTACTACTAGTCTCTCTAACTACTATACGACTAATATCATACTATACTACTACTACTACTGCACGACTACAACATTTTACGACTCTACTACTACTTATCTACGACGACTACCGATACTACGACCACTCGAATACGATTACGATACTACTGCTACCAACCCAATACTACTAATACTACTACTTAATACTACTACTACTGATACGACTACTACTACTACTAACATTCGTATCGACTACCACTATATCTACTAACTATAACTACTTTTGTTTACCTACTATACTAACTACTACTACTACTACTACTACTACTACTACTACTACTACTACTACTACTACTACTACTACTACTACTACTACTACTACTACTACTACTACTACTACTACTACTACTACTACTACTACTACTACTACTACTACTACTACTACTACTACTACTACTACTACTACTACTACTACTACTACTACTACTACTACTACTACTAGGAGGACCCATTTGCATATTTCGGAATCGATGCAATTCGGTGCGTTTTTGCTTACGCTCCGGTGCCCTCTTGCTCATCTTAACGTAGTGCTCGTGCGCAGACCAAAAACTGAAACCAATTCCAACTCGAGCACGCATGTTGGCTTCCAGATCCTCTGCGTTGACATAAGGAGTGTCACTTGGTCTTCGCAGTCGTTTTGGGCGTCTCTACAATTGAAATCCTATCGTGGGGCTACCCCAGGATGGTTGGGATTGGGCCCAGTTTGCTTTTCGCATTGGTTGGGATTGGTCCCAGTTGGTTGGGATTGGGCCCAGTGGGTTGGGATTGGGCCCACATGCGGTTGGGACCCCCCCCCCCCTTTCCCCGATCCGTCGTCGGGAACCCCCCCCCCCCTCCTCCCCCCCTTTCCCGATCCGTCGTCGGGAACCCCTCCCTCCTTTCCCGGTCCGTCGTCGGGGACCCCCCTCCCCTCCCCACCTTTCACAAGGGAGGGGGGGGGTCCGAACCCCCCCCCACCTCCCCCTTTGGCCGCCAAGTTCGAGCCCCCCCCCGTCCCCCCTTTGCGCCACGGCACCCCCAGTCTTCGAAACCCGACCCCTACCACCCCTGACACTAATCCGCACCCTTACCCTAATCCCTAACCCGAATCCAAGCCCTAGCCCCAAACAGTACTCACTACTCATCACGCAATACTCACTACCCACATTTCACTACCCGCTACTCACTACTCACGACTCATTACTCACTACCCACGACTCACTACCCACGACGCACTACTCACTACTCCCTACTCCCTATTCACTACGAACTACTCACTACTCAATACTCACTACTCACTAAACACAACTCACTTCTCACTACTCACTAATCACAAATCACCACTCACTACCCGCTAACCACTATCCACTACTCACACTTCACTACTCACTACTCACTGCCCACAACTCACCACTCACTATCCACTAATCGCTACTCGCTACTCCCTACATTGTACTCACTACTCACTGCTCACTACTCGCTACTCCCTACGCCCTACTCGCTACCCAATACGCACTAGTCACTACCCGCTACTCGCTACTCACTACACTCCCAATACTCACTACTTCCTACTTCCTACTCCCTACTCACTACTCACTACCCAGTACTCAATACTCACTACTCACTAAACACTACTCACTGCCCACTACACACTACTCACTAAGCACTACTCACTACCCAGTAACCACTATCCACTACATCCTACTGAGAACTCCCCATTCACTACTCAGCACGCACTGCCCGCAACTCACTACTCACTATCCGCTACTCGCTACCCAATACGAAATATTCACTACCCACTACACACTACTCGCTACTCACTGCTCTCTACTCCCTACTCACTGGTCACTAGTCGCAAGTCGCTAATCAATACCCACTACGCACTACTCTCTGCTCCCGGCTCACTACTCACTTACTCCCTACTCACTACCCACTACTCAATAATCACTTCTCGCCTCCCACTGCTCACTACTCACTACTCCCTACTCCCTACTCACTACTCACAACTCACTACTCACTACTCACTACTCGCTACGCCCTACTCGCTACGCGCAACTCTGGACTCAGTACTCACTACTGACTCCTGACTACTCCCTCCTCGCTACTCACTACTCACAACGCCCGACTCGCTACTCGCTACTCACTACTCGCTACTCGCTACTCCCTACTCGCTACTCTCTACTCGCTACTCGCTATTCGCTACTCACCACTCACTACTTTCTACTCGATGCGCACTACTCACTACTCACTACTCACTATTCACTCCTTGCTATTCGCTACTGTCTGCTCCCTCATCCCTACTCCCTGCGAGCTACTCACGATGCACTACTCACTACACACTACTCACTCCTCACTACTCACAATTCCTTACACACTACTTCCTTCCCACTGCTCACTACCCACTATTCAGTACTCACTAACCTCTACGCGCTACTCACTACTACCGCTACCCAATACCCACTACTCACTACTCACCACTCACGACTCACTGCGCACTACTCACTGTCAAATACCCACTGCCCACCAATCGCTACTCAAAACGCTCTACTCTCTATTCACTACCCGAAAGGCCCCCTCCCCAGCCCCCTGTTCGGCGCAAGGGGGGGGAGGGGGGGGGGGGCGGGTTCGGGATCCCCCCCCCTTTAAAGGGGGGGAGGGGGGGGGGTTCTGCGAGCCCCCCCCCCCTTTGTGTATTCAGGGCCATCCACTGGCGCGCTTTCCTGATCTTACCTGGTTGCTGTGGCGCACCAGCTGCTGGACGTGGACGGCCTCGGAATGCAAGCTTTGCTGGATGTGCCTGCGCTGGAGGCGGAGGCTCTCGCTAACCTTCGTGAGGGAATGCTGCCAGGCCTGCAAGAAGTAACGGAGCTTCGCTTGCCTGGTGGCCCAGATGGCCCGAAACGTCTGCTGACGAATCCGCGGTGTCTGCATGACCAACCGCCAGGTGGTCTGGGAGATCCATGGCGTTCGCGCTACCTGCGTGGCCTCAGAGAAGAAGTGCGCCTCCTGCAACCTTTGAACGACCCGGATGAGATCGGCGTGATATACCTCGGGGCCCTCAGGGAGCAGCGCGTGTAGGGCAGGAGCTGCGTCTCGGAGATCGGCTGCAAAGGCGTCACGCCGATCAGGATCGCGAAGTTTGAGATCGCCCAGGCGCCGTTTTGGGGGTCGGCGAGGCAGTCGCGTGTCCCCCAGCATGCTCGCCCAGGCCATGTGGTGGTCGTCCCTCGTGGTGAAGACCATGGGGTCCTGCTCCACTCCCGCGGCGACGGACTCCCACAGCCACCCATCCGTGACCCATATCTGGTCAGAGCGCTTCGGGGAGAGGGAGTTGCCGAACCACGTCGGCGCGGTGCAGTCATGCCACTCTGCGACGTCTGTCAAGGCGAAGGCCTCCTTGAGATCTGGCTTCGCAGGTCCCTCCAACATCTCCTCTCCGGCATAGGGTGCCATCCCAGGAGCGCCAGGATCCTGCGCCTGGAATCTTCCAGGCTGGGGTTGGCCTTCTCGGCCGTCAGCGCCCATGCTCAACGGCGGTGGCCCCCTATGAGGAGAGGCAGGCTTTTTGGACAGAGCTCGAAACCGAACTAGGCAAGGTCAACCATCCGAGCAGGCTCCTGGTATTCATTGACGCTAACGACGACGACGGCGCCAAGGGCTGCAATGCCAATTGCTGAGGATGATGATGATGCTGATGATGATGATGAGGAGGAGGAACGCAACAACCTCGTCGCTCTCGTCGATCATTTGTGTCTGAAGGAAAATAGAAGCGGAGGATGATTTGGAGAAGAATGGATGGGGAGGTAGTGGAGGGGGAGGAGGAGGAGGGGGAGGAGGAGGAGGAGGAGGAGGAGGAGGAGGAGGAGGAGGAGGAGGAGGCCATGGGGGAGAAGTGATGGGGAGATGGTGGAGGAACATGTTCCCTGCCATCAGGCTCTCCCTCCTTGGTCAGGGTCAGGTTCTGCTCCTCACGGCCGCTGCCTGCGCATGCACCCTGCGCACGAACCTGTAGAGGCCGACCACATCTTCTGGCGCGTCGGGCACAGGCAGGTCCAACTCGCGCAATCTCGTACAAATCGTCGCGAAGCCATCGGTGGCCCACTCGGGGACATCCGACAGCCCGGCCACCGACGAGGATTTCTGCACCAAGCTGTTCAGCACTTCGTGCGCAGTCACGACTGTGACCTTCTCTTTGTCCGAGTACGTGAACGAGTCCTGGGCGGTGGGGTGCACCCACGGTCAGTCGTGCTAGTTTTAGGTTGGGTGTGTCCTCCTACAGGCGGATTTTGGACGACAAATAAAACATGTTCAAACATATCCAACACATCAGCAAACTTACTGACAAACTCGTCCCCATAATGTTTCCCAACCATCCTGTGGTGTTGGGTCCTCGTTTTGAAGAAAGAGACACCGCTCCGCGTCTCCTCCCTCCCGCTGCCCCCCTCCCTCTCCCCCTCCCCCCTCCTCCCTCCTCCCTGCGTTTCACCGACCCAGTACAGCGCTTCGTGGCCCCATAGGGAGCTCAAGCTAAAGCCCCAGTGGGGGTGGCCACATGTTTGCGCCACACCCAGTACAGCGTTTCGTGGTCCCATAGGGAGCTCCACCTAAGGCCCCAATGGGGGTGGCCACATGCGTCCGCCACACCCAGTACACCGTTTCGTGGCCCCATAGGGAGCTCCACCCAAGGCCCAAGTGGGGGTGGCCACGTGCGTCCGCCACACCCAGTACAGCGCTTCGTGGCCCCACAGGGAGTTCCACCCAAGGCCCTAGTAGGGGTGGCCAACTGCGTCCGCCACACCCAGTACAACGTTTCGTGGCCCCATAGGGAGCCCCACCTGAGGCCCCAGTGGGGGTGGCCACTTGCGTCCGCCACACCCAGTACAGCGTGTCGTGTCCCCATAGGGAGCTCCACCCATGGCCCCAGTGGGGGTGGCCACATGCGCCCGCCACACCCACTACAGCGCTTCGTGGCCCCATAGGGAGTTCCACCCAAGGCCCCAGTAGGGGTGGCCACATGCGTCCGCCACACCCAGTACAACGATTCGTGGCCCCATAGCGAACTCCACTTAAGGCCCTGGTGGGGGTGGCCAACTGCGTCCGCCACACCCAATACAGCGCTTCGTGGCTCCATAAGGAACTCCACCCAAGGCCCCAGTGGGGGTGGCCACATGCGTCCGCCACACCCATGTCGGCACACCCTTCACACGTTTCGTGGCCTTATAGGGAGCTCCACCCATGGCCCCTTATGGGGTCCGCCATACCCAGTACAGCGCTTCGTGGCCCCATAGGGAGCTCCACCCAAGGCCCCAGCAGGGGTGGCCACATGCGTCCGCCACACCCAGTACAACGATTCGTGGCCCCATAAGGAACTCCACGTAAGGCCCAGGTGGGGGTGGCCACATGCGTCCGCCACACCCAGTACAGCGTTTCGTGGCCCCATAAGGAGTTCCACCTGAGGCCCCAGTGGGGGTGGCCACATGCGCCCGCCACACCCACTACAGCGCTTCGTGGCCCCATGGGGAGATCCACCGAAAGCCCAGAGGGGGTGGCCACATGCGCCCGCCACACACAGTACAACGTTTCGTGGCCGCACAGGGAGCTCCACCCGAGGCCCCAGTGGGGGTGGCTACATGCGTCCACCACAGCCAGTACAGCGTTTCGTGGCCCCATAGGGAGCTCCACCCAAAGCCCCAATTGGGGTGGCCACCCGCGTCCGCCGTTTCGTGGCCTTAGAGGGAACCCTACCGAGAGCCCAAGTGGGGTTGTCCGCATGCGTCCACCACACTCATTACAGCGCTTCGTGGCCCCATAGGGAATTCTACCTGCGGCCCCAGTGGGGGTGCCCGCATGCGTCCGCCACACCGGGTACGCCCCTCACACGCTTCGTGGCCCGTTCGGCCCCCGCCGCGTCCAGTATTCACAGTCGTATGCATGTACACTAGGCGTATCCATGCTCGCATTCATGCACATAGACTTACTCGCATGCAGACTCAATCAGAATCAGACGCGCTCGCGCTCAGTCTCACCCGCGCTCGGCCCCCGTGCTCAAGCCTATCGTTTCCGTTCGTGTTGTGTACCCCGCCACACATGTCGGCACACCCCTCGCACGGTCCGTGGCCCCATAGGGATCGCCACCGAAGAAATTCACAATTGAGGTACGCACAACTACATATGATTGGGTCCTTCGCCAGGATAACGTTTTGACTATGGTTGAATATCCATCCTGTAGAGGGACACGCCCACTTAATGCTAGTGTCGCACCGAAGCCCCACTCGTTGATACACGACTCCGAGTTTTCTAATTTCGCGGCGTCTGGGGCTATGTGTCGTCGCCCCTCCTCGTGCGCCGAAGGCACGCGTGCACCACCGCCATGCTGGGCCCAGGGCCATCCCTGGGTCTTGGCACGGTATGCACGCCCTTGTGGCCCGGGCCAGGAGTTTCTATACGGCGTGGGCATTGGATAAGGGACCATCGGATAAGGAATCCAGGGTCTGGAAGCCAGTGGAACTCCGATCGTGGATTGGCCACGGACATCACCGCCGCCCCCATCAGGCAAGGAATCCCCCAGGGTCTGAAGCCTCCTGCCATCCTCAGGCCCAGGACGGCCCTGGGCCAGGCATGGCGGTGGTGTTGGCAACTCTGGCTGGGGCTTCGAAAACGAGCCCGGCCGCGGCGGACACCCCTCCACCAGTGGAGGTCCATCGAAATCGAAGCGCGCGAACGTACAGTGGAGGCCAGTCCACCAGAAACCTTCCACAAGAAGCCCAGGCCCCTACACCGCCTCTTCGGGCCCGTTTGGGAGCCTCTTGGGGCCCTCTTGGGGCTCTCTTGGGGGCCGTCTGGGGGCCCTCTTGGGCCATCTTGGAGCCCTCTTGGGCCGCCTGGGGGGCCTCGTACCGTTTTCGGCTCCTTTGGGTGGCCTCGTGGGCCGTCTGGGGGCCCTCTTGGGGCCCTTTTGGGCCGTCTAGGGGCGTCTTGGAAGCCTTTGGCCGTTTCGGGGCTCTCTTGGGGGCCTCTTGGGAGCCTCTTTGGGCCTCTTGGGGCTCACTTGGGGCCGTCTTGGGGCTCTCTTGGGGCCGTCTTGGGGCCATCTAGGGCTGTTTTGGTGCCCTCTTGGGCCGTCTGGGGGCCTTCTTGGACCGTTTTCCGCCTCTTTGGGGGGCCCCTCTTCCTCCTCCTCCTCCTCCTCCTCCTCCTCCTCCTCCTCCTCCTAATACTCCTCCTCCTCCTCCTCCTCCTCCTCCTCCCCCTCCTACCTCTCCTCCTCCTCCCCCCTCTCTCCTCTCCACCTCCTCCTCCTCTCTCCTCCTCCTCCTCCTCCTCCTCCTCCTACCTCTCTCCTCCTCCTCCTCCTCCTCCTCCTCCTCCTCCTCCTCCGCCTCCTCTTCCTACCTCTCCTCCTTCTCCTCCTACCTCTCCTCCTTCTCCTCCTCCTCCTCATCCTCCTCCGCCTCCTCCTCCTTCTCCTCCTCCTCCTCCCTCTTCTCCTCTTCTTCTCTCCCCCACGTGTTCTTTCCCGAAATATTCTCGCAACGGCTGGGGGGGCACGCAGTCCGAGGCTGTTCAAAAGGCAAGGGGCCGCGGTGATTCGCTGTCGGCGCCTTCTCATCTGGTACGTGTAAGCTCCTCATTGACAGCGCATGTTGGATGCGGCAGGTTCGCGTCGTGTCGACCCCAGCGTTGGCTCCTGAAGCCGCGGGGATCCTTCAACCTTGGACGACCGGCCGTTCCGAAACGTCAGATCGTTCAACATCGACGGATTCTGGGCCGCCGTCGGCAATCAGCGTTGGACGGCGGCGGCGGGGTCGCCGCCTGTCAACACAACGCGAACCTACCGCATGGGTGTTTGAAGACCTTCGAACTGCAGCTGGCAGTACCACTATCACTTCCATGGTCACATCTCAAGGGGCCCTGGGACACACACACACACGCAAATACACACAAGTAACCATATGCCCCATCATTCCCCATATGTTCTGGGTTTCTGTCTTCCCCCCCCCCCACTTCCCATTTTTTCCAATATTTTCTGGGGAATCGCCGATTAATAATGTCTGTGTGTTTTTTCCCTCCTGAACATCATCATCGTGCACCAGGACAGACGCTGCTGCAACGATTCTTCGTGTTGCAGCAGCCCCCAAAGGTTACCAATGCCATGATGATGGTGGTGCGTGCTGTGGCTTGGGCTGACCCCCCCCAGCAGCAACCGTTCACGTGACCTTGTGGTTCCCCTCGGGAGTGCAATGCTTCATTGAAGGGAAACTGGGACACACACACACACACACACACACACACATAAATGGACACACATACCCAGATTCCCCATATTCCCCAAATTCCCCATTCTGGGTTTCTGTCTTCCCCCCCACTTCCCATATTTTCTTATATTTTCTGGGGAATCGACGATTAATCGTGTCTGCGTGTTTTTTTCCCCTCCTGATTCATCTTGGATTTAAGCTCTCCTCTACAATTGCCGCACGGCTCAGATACCTGTCATCCCCGCCGCGCCGAAGAGTTCGACCCCTGGCCCCAGCTGGGGACAGCACCCAGCTCCTTCTTCGTGCAAGAAAGCCAGAAGAAACGCAACACTGCCAACCCGCATCATAAGAATGCGCGGTAAGGATGCAAGGGCCTTGGAGGGCCAAGTTTACGTTTTTCGAAGAAGGCCGGCCCGCGAACGTCGCTAAGGATGGGCCGAAGGGGCAAGGATGCAAGGGTACCCTTTGGAAGATTGCCCATCCGTGCGATGCGGGCTGCCTGTAGCGAGCAACGCGCAGGGTTGCGGACTTTCGTCGCTGCTACACCCCGAAGCAGAGCCAGACCATCGGTGGTGCTGCGGCTTCCGCTGGCCTCCCTCTGTGGTGGAACCCGTGTGATGGGCATCGCGTGGTGCCAGCCGGGACCCCCGGCAGGAGGAAGGCCCCAGGTGGCCGAAGACGGAGAAGAGCCCCAGGGCGCCCCCCACCGGCGAGGCGTCGGGCCCTCGCCAGCGCGCGCTCCAGACCCGGCCCCCCGGGCCCCGCTCCGCGCCCAGGCGTGGCGACGCCTGCCTCTGGAGACGCCCCATGCAGTCCGCACGCTGGCCATCGCTCGGACGTTCATTCCCTGTGCCCTGTTCGGTTTCGTGCGTGGCTTTTTCGCCAAACGATCCAGGATGCTCCCCGATGGTCCTCGCCGAAGGAAGCAGTGCACACGTCCGAGCGATGCCAAGGCACGAGGCGTCGGCGCCGGTGTCGAGGATGCGCGGGGGAGGGAGGGCGGGCGGAGGCCCCCCCTCACAGCCGTGGGGCTCGGCGCGCGCCGCCCAGGTCCTCCACGGAGGCCGGCGCCAGCCTGGCGGTGAGCTCCCTCAGCAGCCGCGCCCGCGCACGATCCCCGCCGGTGCCGAGCAGCGGGTCGATGTACCTCTGCGGGGCCACCGTGGAGGATGCAGCATGGGCAATCGAGCACTGGGACCCTCCTGCGGCCTCTGTGAGCCTGCGGGGCCTCCTGGAACCTCCTGGAACCTCCCAAAGCGTCAGCAGGGAGCAGTCTACGGCACACGTTCCGCCGACCCCCGCATTTGCGGGGGGTGACGAGGCGTGTGAGACATGCGGCTGTGCCCCTCGCCCTTTTCTGGGATCCACACTCCCTTAAATTGGGGGGGGGGCGCGAGCTCGCCAACGCACCCCCGAGGGCCCTCGGAGCCTCCCAATCCACCGTTCTCGAATGCATGTCACGTAATATGGCTCCAGAAGGGCTCCATCACGCTGGAGAGGCTTAGGAACGCCCAAGATGGCCTCAAGACGGCCGAAGACGCCCCATGATAACCCAAAGCGAACCCCCACGAGGGTCACAAGGGGCAACTTCACTTACGATCCATCTGTTTTCGAATGACTTTCGCGCTTTCGCCTTTTCGGGCTTCTGAAACGAGTCCAAGGCGGCCCGAGAGGCCCCCCCCCCCCAGACCAGCCCACGAGGCCCGCAAAACCGCCCGAAGACGGCCCGAGATTGCCCTCAGACGGGCTGAGAGGCCCCCAAGACAACCCAAAAGGCGGTCAAGACAGCCCCACGAGCGGCCCAAGAGGGAGAACTCGTGGGGACTCTCGGAACCCTCCCCCACAAGGTGGCCCCCAAGGCCTCCAAATGGTCCCGAGAAGCCGCCAGGGGGCCCACCAAAGCTCTCCGGAACATCGAAAAGGCTCCAAGATGTCGCTTCCTTGAGCCCCCAAGACGCCTACCCGAGGCCCCGCAGCGTACACAGAGGAAGAGAAGGTCGACAGTAGCAACCACACGCAAGCACAACACGACGGACCGATACGAAATCGGAAGCCGCACATCTCCTGTCTGTGGGTCGGCGAAATCGTCCAAGCCTCTTGACCAAACTTTCGGAAGTCCGCGCGGCGCTGGACACCGCTGGCGGCGCCCCTGGCGCCGCCCCTGGCGCACTCAGCGCGCCGGGGAGGGGGGGCCTGTGCCGGCCCAAGAAGCTTGTAGAGAACTCTGAACGTTCATGCTTCTGCTGTTTGTTTTTCTCGACCCATAAGTTCCTCCAGCGACCTCCAGGCACGACTGGGGTTCTCCGCCGAGCCCACTCTTCTGGCGGGCCGAACAAACAACGCGCCCGAGACCCTTCGCCACTCTTGGCCTCCTAGGGGCGTTCCATTCCCCCCCGAGGGCCGTCAAAGAGTGGCTCAGGATGCAACGCCAGCCCCAGGAAAGCGGTCGAGAGATCCCCAGCATCGATGGACAATTCTCCATCCCCGCCAGGTAAATCTGTTCCCCACTGGCCGACCGATGGCCAGGAACTTTTGCCCTAGCCTGCCGCGGCGGTTGCCGCTGAGACACGCTGTGCCCTGCAGGCTGATAGCGTGTCGCTCCACTTCGCGGGACAGGAGGCTGGGCGAAGCTCGGACCGTTGACGCTTGGGAGTTGCGACATGTTTAGCGTGTCGCGCCGAAGTATGGTGGGCCATAACCGGTGTGACACTCTAAGCAAACGGTCCTGACCGCACCTCCCTAGGCGGGGATAGGTGCCGCTCCCGTCGGGTTCTGCGGCACCTGTCCCCGCCTGGAGGGAGTAGGCTGGCGGCGTCAAGAAGCCCTGGCCCACTGGGGATGGGGACAGGGCTCACGATGCTGAGCTCCTGGGGACGGCGGCTCGAAACATCATCGAGCCGTGAGGCGATCACGACCGAGGCCTTGCCGCCCCGATTTTGGCGCGGCTGGTGCAGGACCTCTCGAGGCCAGACCTACGCGCGAGGGCCTGGGCCCTCCTCGTCGTCGTCGTCGTCGTCGTCGTCGTCGTCGTCGTCGTCGTCATCGTCGCAGCAGCCGTCGTCGACCTCGTCGTCGCCGTCGTCGTTCCCGCCGTCGCCGCCATCGTCCTCGAGGCGGGCGGGAGAGGCGAACGCGCGCGGGCGGGCGAAAGCGGAGCGGACGTGCGGGGTTGCCCGGTGGCGAGGCCAGGCCGAAAGACCAAGTCGTGACTCCTCTGCCGGGGCGCCCCCGCGCGCAATGGGGGCCTCCGCGGGGGTTCGCCGCTCCGCCCGTGCGCGCGGCCCCAGAGCTCGAGCTCCCTGCCCGGTGTGTGTGGAGGAGGAGGAGGAGGAGGAGGAGGAGGAGGAGGAGGAGGAGGAGGAGGAGGAGGAGGAGGAGGAGGAGAGGAGGAGGGAGGAGGGAGGAGAGGAGGAGAGGAGGAGGGAGGAGGAGGGGGAGGGAGAGGGAGGAGGAGGAGGAAGGAGGAGGAGGAGGAGGAGGAGGAGGAGGAGGAGGAGGAGGAGGAGGAGGAGGTGTGTATATATGTATATGCGTGTGTGTATCCGGGCCAGCCCTCGCGCGCCTCTCTCGCTCGCCCTGCTCTGCGCTGCGCCTCCGCGCGCGTGGCCGCGGCGCCAAAAACTGTGTGCGTGTGTGCGCGCGCGCGTCGCCTCCCTGCCGTCCACGCCCGAGGGTGCTGTGTGGCGGCAGGTGCTGCGGGATCCAGCGCGAGAGTTCCTGAGGGCCCCGCCGCGCCCCCGCGCTTGGTACTTCTTCTGCCGACTCCACCTCGTCGCCGCACGCGAGGCCGCTGCCGCCAACAGTGTGTGTGTGTGTGTGGGTGCGTGTGCGTGTGCGTGTGCGTGTGCGTGTGCGTGTGCGCGTGCGTGTGCGCGTGCGCGTGCGCGTGCGCGTGCGCGTGCGCGTGCGTGTGCGTGTGCGTTCGTGTGCGTGTGCGTGTGCGTGTGCGTGTGCGTGTGCGTGTGCGTGTGTGT